GGGGGGGGGCGGTCCTGGGGATATAACCCAGGACTCCTAACCCCTGAGTCACATTCCTAGCCACTTCCCATTTTTTATTTCTCTAAAATTTTGTAACAGAGGATCACTAGGTTGCTTAGACCCTTTTTAAGTTGCTGAGGCTGGTCTCAAACTTGTGATCCTCCTTCCTCAGCCTTTAGAGTCACTGGGATTTTGGCATGGGCCACTACACCTGGTGAGAAGGATTTGAAAAAAAGAAAAAAATATTAATTTATTATTTTTTTATTATATGAGAAAATAGTTGACTAATATTTCCAGAGCTATTGTCTTCTATACAGGGAGAACAAAAGGCTATTAAAGGAAAATTCTGGGACACACTCATTGTGTGCCTCTTAAAAATATGCATAATGTACACATGGTGCTTGAGGTAGCTTTTTGTCAGAACCGTTGGTACCAGTTCCCAGGTCTGAACATCTTAATGACACTGATTTTCTTATTCTTCAACCATGCCTGAGACAGGAAGAATGTTATTCTTGATTCCCCACAGATAAGGAAGGAAAGAAGGAAAAGAAAAAAAATATCATTTTTAAAATAAGCCCTCTGCTTTTAAGTAGCAAGATGCATAATGAAAATCTAAAATGAATCCCAGATATAGGTCAATTGTATTTTTTAAATTTTTTTATTCTAATTTGTTATGACAGCAAAATGCAGTACAATTCATATTACATATATAGGCAAATTCTTCATATCTCTGCTTCTATACAAAATATATTCACTCCATTTGTTTTTTCATACATGTATTTTGGATAATAATGTCCATCTCATTCCACCATCATTTCTACCCCCATGTCTCCTCCCTTCCCCTCTCACCCCTTTGCCATATCTAGAGTTTGTGTATTTCTCCCATGCTCCCCCTCCCTACCCCACTATGAATCAGCTTCCTTATATCAGAAAAAAACATTCAACAATTGGTTTGTGGGGGGGTTAACTAACTTCACATAGCATTGTATTCTCCAACTCCATCTCTTTACCTGCAAATGCCATGATTTTATTCTCTTTTATTGCTGAGTAATATTCCATTGTGTATATATACTACAGTTTCTTTATCCATTCATCTACTGAAGGGTATCTAGGTTGGTTCCACAATTTGGCTGTTGTGAATTGTGCTACTATAAACATTGATGTGGCTATGTCCCTGTAGTATGCTGTTTTTAAGTCCTCTGGGTATAGATTGAGGAGTTGGATAGCTGGGTAAAAATTGGTTTAATTCCCAGTTTTCCAAGGAGTCATCGTACTGCTTTCCATATTGGTGGCACCATTTTCAGTCCCACCAGCAATATATGAGTGTTTCTCTTTCCCCACATCCATGTCAACACTTATTGTTGTTTGCTTTTGAATGAAAGAATAACCATAAAATTCAATTCTGTACTCAGGTATAGTGAATTTTCCATTTATTGAAGTAGATGGTGTTTACCTATGAAGAGACAATTATTACATCTGTTTTCCAGAGTTAAGTCACTTTTTTACCTTCTAAAGGCAGAAATCTCTGGATTTTTTTTTTT